GGGGCAGCTCTATAGGACAGGGGCCAAGACAGGGAGCTCTTTCACACTACGCGCGCACACAACACAATGCATCCCTATACATACACAGAAACACATGCTTCCCTTACACACAGAGAAACACACAATGCATCCATTACACACAAAGACAATGCATCCTTTGCACACATACACAGAAACAGACAATGCAAACCCGTACACACGCATGCAAACACACACACTTCTTTTCTTACATACACACAGAAACACAATGCATCTCATGCACACACATACAGACACACACCTTGCATCCCTTATGCATACAAACACAGATTCACACAATGCATACCTTACACACAACCAGAAACACATAATACATCCCTTATACACAAATACACACTGCTTCCACTACACACAAACACACTGCATCACCTGCACAAACTGGTAACCCTAAACACTACATACCATAAGCACACATATTATATCCTCTGCAATAACACATAACACATCCCCTACACACTCCACTCCTGTGAGCGAACTCATGGGTGGGTGGAACTTATGAGTGGGCCTTATGGGCATACTCACCGTCAGGCCCTGGGGCCCAGACCTTGAGCTGTGTAAGGGGCCCCAAAAAAATTGAGCTGCTTCCAATTCTCCCAGAACATTGAATTTTGTGAACACAGTTGCAAACAGCCTCCAGAGATCCTGTTCTACACCAGACCAGTGGAGCCAAACTGCAGCCCATCATCATCCTCATCTGCTTGTAAGTAGGCAATCTAGTATATTATTAGTGACACTAATCTATAATTTACCTCACATTAAAGGGACACTATAGCTTAATGAAGTGGTTCTGTTGTCTACAGCTGGTCCCTGCAGGCTTTTTAATGTAAACACACACTGTGTGCAGCAATGGCGTTAGTTCATATGGCAGATCATATGGGTGGGGCATTGTGATGTGACATGTGGGGGCAGCAAATTTTTATTTTGTTTAGGGCGGCAAAAATCCTTGGACCGGCTCTACTTGACTGGTTTTGCCCCCCAGGCCTAAGGCTGCCAGCCCTCCCCTGGCCGCTGGGGAGGTCTTTTGGCGGCCACTGGCGGACTTGTCCTGGCGGCCGCTGAGGGAGCTGCGCGAGCTGCGCTGGCTCTGCTCCCCAGCACGCAGCTGAATGAGACCGGCGCCGGAATATGACGTCATATTCCGGTGCCAGTCTCATTCAGCAGCGCGCGAGGGCGGGAGGGCACTAACACAGGAAGCACCTCTAGTGACGTCTGAGTGACTGTCACTAGCAGTGTCACTTTGAAGCAATGTAAACACTGCCTTTTGTCTGAAAAGTCAGTGTTTACGTTGAAAAGCCTGTAGGAACATGCTATAGACACCAGTACCAGCACATTAAGCTGTGTGTGTGCGTCTGCTAGTGAGTGAGCTTGCTTGCATGCGTGTGCATGCTAGTGAGTGAGCTTGTGTTTTTATGTCAATGAGCTGATGTATATCAGTGTAAAAAACTAGATGAATGGATGTTAATGTAGACTCTTTCTTAATTTCTTCTTGTCTTCAGTTGATTGATATATATACGTCTTTTGTATATATATTCTTGGGCCAAATGCTCGCCACAATAATATGTCTATATTATTGAAAAGTAGTAATACGCAATCTGACTTACGGTTTCTTCAGGTTTATTCTTAGTTACGGATACATAAAACAACAAATGATGTTACAGGATAATGGACATTCAACAGCAGATGGTAATTGCTGGACTTCTGATGGGAGAGTTACATCGTTGTACAGAGCCAAGCCAAGACAGAGACTGAGCGCGACCTCGTGTCCCTCTGTTACTATATAGATGTGCTAATACTAACGTCAGCATATAACTCTAGCCATATAAGGACAAGACCCCCACACCCACATTCCAGAGCTCTCGGACAAAGAAAGCTTTGTGACTTATTGATACCATCTGTTACTTATGTCAATCCACACATCCATATATATAATCAATAGAAACATAGAATATGCAATATTCTACAATCAGTAAGATTGTTTGTCTATGAGGCTGTGTATCAATGAGCTTGTGTGTGTCACTGAAATGTCAGTGAAATTGCCTGTGTCTGCATGTGCGTATGCTTACTGTATAATTAAACGTTTTACCCTGAAAGGACCAATATTTTATATTAGAAAAAGCAATATATATATATATATATATATATATATATATTACTCAATCATCTGTCCTGGCAAGACATAGCCTTACATATTACACGCGACAATTTATGGCGCAGTGACTTATGGGGCCGGCACAAATTTTTTTTCAAGGGCTGCTTTGTATCCCCAGTCCGGCCCTGGTTACTAGACAGTTCTGGTGGCCCTCTCTCAGAAGCGAAGTTATCGCATACATTAATGCTTGTGCTGTCAATTGAAAAGTGGGTTGTTACAACCTCTACCTATACCACTTATTCCATTGTCTCATATACCCGTGGATTTCATAGTTGAATCACCCGTCTCTAGTGGCCTATTTCGTTTCTCTTAAAAAGCTACCTTCCTCACAGAATCTAGCCTCTGTTTTCATCAAGGAGATAGTGTAACCGTGTGTGGTTCCCTTATTTACCACTATAATGTCTTAAAGCATAGAACTTAGTAGGGCTAACCATACAGATATCTTAGCCATAATTTTATATAGTGTAAGAGATCCTCTATTTAACATATATAAATAATTGAGAATACAATATAAAATAAGGATTGTCTTGGAAGCAAGATTGTCTTTTTGGATATTTATTATATAAAAATATAAAATCCATTATAGCAGAGTTTATAAGATTAAATTACATGCTTGCAAATATCATTAATAGGTTAACATACCCTTCTGAACATGTCATCATGTCAGCCTCTCTGTCATTTTAAGATGGAGCAGCGTCTGTCTCCAAGTCTCTCCTCTGTTTCTTAACATTTAAAAGTACACCTATTTATACCTTAGGTGTCTCCATTTTAGGTTACTGTAGTTCAACTATGAAAAAGTAACACTTCTTTTACTTTATTCAATTTAGGTCCTCCCTTAATTTGGCAAACATACAAGGCCATAACTAAAGGGTGTATACGTCATGGAAATTTTCCTGACTTAGTTCAAGATGGCATCTTAAAGTCTGAATAGGTTATCTGTTGTTTATACTAAGTCGTAAGTGTACAGTCGTGGGAGATTCCCGGATTTGGGGAAGTTCCATTAACTTGGGGTTACCACAGTATATTGTGTACTGCAAGAGTCGTAGCATAGCCTTGAAGCTTGTTTATGCATTATTGTTATTGTAATTCGTCTGGGACAAAATGGCGCAAACATATTATGCACTGAGGTTATTGCTTAAAGAAACAGTTATGAAAAACAATATGTTCCATTTCTAACACCTTGTCAGTTTGCAATATCTCTTAAAGACAAAGTACACAGTTTAAGAAATACAACATTTCATTCTAAAACTTGTAATATTTGCATTTGCCCGTAACAATAGGTTGCACGGCATAACTCAAAACATTGTTTCCGACAGGTGTACCCAGTTTGTCTCTAAGTTCTGGAGGTCCTTTTGTTTTGAATATTTTTATTGGTTTCACAACATATAAGCAGTTAGCAATTTTGTTCATGATAAAACAAGTATTCGCCCACGCAGGGGTGTAAGCTTTCGAATATAATCAGGTTTGCATTGTGTCGCCTGCACAAAGGCACTATTATCATTTCATATGTGTTATAGCATAGTTTTCCTCATTTATTTGCTTGCTTTTTACCTCAGCATGTCCAGTATTGCATGGTTGTTGCAATTGAGCCGACTTGTGTGGTTTTGTTGGCTCCTGCCTTATGCACATTTGCTTTTGCGCCAGTAGGTCTCGTGTCTTTTTGCTGATACCTTGTGGCGTAACTAGACCTAGTTCACAAGTGACTGTCTGTTTCTCATGTCTTTCTTCTTCGCTAGTGGCATTCGATTAGTTGGCCTTCTGGCTATGCCTCTGCTGTGGGGCCAGGGCCGTCTTTAACGCGGGGCAAACGGGGCAGCTGCCCCGGGCCCAGTTACTCCTGGGGGGCCCAAAGCAGCTGCCCCGTGGCCCCACCGCCCATCGCCTGCATAAGAAAAATTCCCTCCCCACCCATGGTCCCGCGGTGCTTGTATTGCGGCTCTATGGGGGCCCATCGGGTGGCCAATACACTTAGGGCCACCCGGTGAGCACGTTACAGCAGGGGGCCCAGTCGAGTGCTGTGGCCCTTTAACAGCACGACCGGGCCCTCTGATTTACGGCAGCATGGGAGGAAGTGACTTCGGTGAGTCACTTCCTCCCTCTGAGATGATGAGCCGCGCAGGAGGAAGGCTGAGCCAGGAGGCAGCGAGGAGGGGGACTGAGCAAAGAGAGCCAGTCCCCAACTCCCAACCACCCCAACCAGCACACTGGACCCCAGGGAAGGTAGGAAACTAGAGGGGGCTTTACAGTGTGCATATTATGTCAGTATGTGTGTGTTTATGTCTGTCAGTAGGTCTGTGTGTGTGAGTATGACTGTGTGTGTGTGTGTGTCTGTCAGTAGGTCTATGTGTGTGTGTCTGTCAGTAGGTCTGTGTGTGTGAGTATGACTGTGTGTGTGTGTGTCTGTCAGTAGGTCTGTGTGTGTGTGTCTGTCAGTAGGTCTGTGTGTGTGAGTATGACTGTGTGTGTGAGTAGGTCTGTGTGTGTGTGTCTGTCAGTAGGTCTGTGTGTGTGTGTGTGTGTCTGTCAGTAGGTCTGTGTGTGTGAGTATGACTGTGTGTGTGTCTATCCGTAGGTCTGTGTGTGTGTGGCTCTGTCGTAGGTCTGTGTGTGTGAGTGACTGTGTGTGTGTGTGCGTCTGTCAGTGGTCTGTGTGTGTAGGTATGACTGTGTGTGTGTGTCTGTCAGTAGGTCTGTGTGTGTGTCTGTCAAGTAGGTCTGTGTGTGTGTGTGTGTCTGTCACTTCTGTAGGTCTGTGTGTGTGTGTCTGTCAGTAGGTCTGTGTGTGTGTGTCTGTCACTATGTCTGTGTGTGTCTGTCAGGTCTGTGTGTGTGTGAGTATGACTGTGTGTGTGTGTCTGTCACTATGTCTGTTGTGTGTGTCTGTCAGTAGGTCTGTCTGTGTGTGTCTGTCAGTAGGTCTGTGTGTGTGTGTGTGTGTCTGTCACTATGTCTGTGTGTGTGTGTCTGTCAGTAGGTCTGTTAGTATGTCTGTGTGTGTGTGCCTGTCAGTAGGTCTGTGTGTGTGTGTGTGTCTGTCAGTAGGTCCATGTGTGTCAGTGTGTTTGGGTGTCAGTATGTCTGTGTGTGTGTGTCTGTCAGTAGGTCTGTGTGTGTGTGTGTGTGTGTGTGTCTGTCAGTAGGTCCATGTGTGTCAGTGTGTTTGGGTGTCAGTATGCCTGTGTGTCAGTATGTCTGTGTGTGTCTGTCAGTAGGTCCATGTGTGTCAGTATGTCTGTGTGTCAGTGTGTTTGGGTGTCAGTATGCCTGTGTGTGCCACTATGTCTGTCTGGGTGTGTGGTAGTATGTGTCTGTGTGTGCCAGTATGTCTGTCAGTGTATGTGTCGGTGTCCATATGTCAGTATGTATGTGTCAGTATGTCTGTCAGTTTATGTGTCTGTGTAAGTATATCTGTCAGTTTGTATACATATAATCTGTGTGTGTATATGTGCATACATCTCAGCATTCACACACTAACACTACATACAAATACACCCCTGCATTCAAACTCCAACACTAGGTACAAACACATGTCTGTGTTACACACCAAAATTATATGTAAACACACCCTTGCATTCAAAAACCAACACTACACATAAATACATGCTTGCAAGTACACCAACACCACATACAAACTTATTTTACAAAAAAACCTGTTTACATTCAAACACACAAAAACAGCGTTGTGCTAAATACAAACCTTCAAACATGGGTAAATGGTAGAGCCACAGCTGTCAATGCATTGCTGAAGTTGCACGACAGATGGGGAACTACCTTCTAATCACCCGTGCGATAGGGAGGCACAAAAAAATTCTTGCACCTCTCTACTTTAGGTCTGCCTCTGCGTTGGGGTGGAGGACATGATTGCACACCTGGCGAGGGTACCAGGGGGCCCAAGCAAATGCTTTGCCCAGGGTCCAATCAATATTAAAGACGGCCCTGTGTGGGGCCTCTATCTGTTGTTAGATGGGACTTGCTTATCTTTTGCTGTTTTTATCTATAACCAGCCTGAGTGGGTAATTGTCCAGTGTTTTCTGCAGCTAGGGTGTGCTTGCCTTCCCGTCTGCTTTGGTTGTCTATGTATTGTGTATCTCTACCCTGTATGTTGCGCCGACGAGCACATGTGAGTGGTTTGGGTTACCACTATGTCTTGTGTGTACAGGGTATTCGGTATCACTGCGTTCTGGTACAGATTTGTCTGCATTTTCCTCTCTCTGGTGATGTCGTGATGTGACTCATCTACTGGTGTATTTAATGCCGTTCCCTTGTTGTTTGTCCCATCTGTTATTATTGTGTTGTGTTCAGGTGTGTTCTCGGTGTGTGTTGTCTGTTGTGTTAGCTGTTTGGGCCTGGGTCTGGTGTTACAGGTCCCTGTCGTGGAGGTCCTTTTGTAAGCAATTGGATTTGTCCTTTTCATCTTCTTACCATCCACAAACTAACGGTGCTGCTGAGAGAACTAACCAGTCACTGGAGGCATACCTGAGATGTTTTATTAACCATTAACCATTTACAGTAGCCAGGTATTGTTAATCCTTTCATTATCTATCAATCAATATTATTTACCTAGTTAGACTTAGTTCTGCGTGCTGGGCCGCTGTATTGTCCTGACAATACTTTTCTGAAAAGAACTGACTTTCCTCAGCTATTTCTTCTTAAAAGTGTACTTGAAAATGAAATCCTAAATGTGAAATGAAACTCAAAAATACAAAGAAACACCAAAAGTGTAGTATATTTGAACACAAAAAAGGGCCACACACAGTTGATAGTATAAGCTCAAATAACTGCAGTACTGCTGTACTCTTCTCACTTATGAATATACAGCTGGTATGTACCCTTAAAGTGCTCAGGAGATTTATGAAACAAGAGGAACACAAACAGAAAAAAAAACAATAGTGCAGTATATCAAGATATTATTGATGTGTAAATAATACACAACATAGCCAAAGCTTCTTGCCAGCTCACATATCTCAACGGCAGCTATATAATCCACACTTAAGGATATGTAGCCCAGTATCTTTCAAATCATAAGTCACATATAAATGCAAATAAAAAGTGCATACAGTGCTCACAAAATCACAAAAATAAACTAGAATTCGACTTACCCTATCCAAAGCATTAAGAATTCTCTGCTTGAAAGTCATAGGAAAGTGGGTATCATAAACACACTAAGGATAAACAGTGTAGAGGTCCAAATTTTACAGAGAATGATATCCACAAGGTAGCCAAGAGATGAAGAATCAAAAAATGCTTTATTAAAGAATAAGAATAAGCCTCCTGCCCACCGACTATGGTCCAGATCTGGGACACCATTTGGGAGTTACTCTGCTCATCCGCCATTTGCAGCTTTTCCTGGTTGCCCCTGGGTCAGCACTTTCTCTTCATTCGAATGGAACCAAACGCTAGCTCCCTGGCGGCCATTTACATTAACCAAACCTACGAATGGTCCTCAGCAGTACTTAGCCTCGACCGCTATGGAACTAATTTCTGCATGAGGACTTCGTTGGTTTACCTCAGCGGGACTCAGCCGTGAATGTTATGAAACTGTTTTCGGTATGAGGTGACAGTGCGGTTCCCTGACAACTTGGTTCACTGTTTTGATCCACTTTGAAATCTGCCAGGAGCGTGCTTTTTGGAGGATGAAGGAGTTCCCGAAAGCTGACCGGCAAGAGCACCAAACGCCCTGGAACTATTTTGGGCATAGGACCAAGAGTCTTGCTGGTCAGAACTTTAACACTGTTGCGTTTCCCCAACACTGAATGGATCTGAGCAATATTTGGAGAACTTGGATGCTCACATCAGAGCTATTTAAAGATGGATTATTTGTGGGGTTATTTTATGTTTTATTATGTCTTGGGGTTCTTTTATGTTTTTATATTTTTGAGTTTGGTTTTCTATTCCTGAGAGATAATTGTAGATTATGCTAACGTAGTGTACCTATAATCTTAATTTTAATAATGACAGGAGGCGAGTATTTTGCATAACTTTCTTTACCTATGCCACCAGCAGCACAAGTCAATCATTAAACTTTAAACCAATCATAACATGTATCATATCCATATATAAAGCCCTGACCATCACATGACTTCCTCTTTCTTTGGTGCGAAACTAGTCTACAATAATGTCAGGGAATAAAACCAGAGTTCGTAATAATATAACAATTCAAATGAAGATCAGAATAACGAAGATCAGAAATTAAACTTGATCCGTAAAATCCAATATTCAATGTGTCCAATCCGGAGCCAATAACGACAAATCACACTGAAAGAACAGAAACAAGTGTAAGGAGATGGAAATAGACTTATCAGTGATACTATATATCCATATTCTATACAAATAATAACCTATTGTTTAAATACTAGCATTAAACAATAATATCACTAAGTACTCGTATATTACCATAAAACATCATATCCATATATAATATAGATAAACTATACAAATTATAATTGAGCAAAAGAAACGGTGAAATAAGATAATCCATAGAAAAAAGGGAGGGAAAGGGCGGGAAAATACTCGCCTCCTGTCTTTATTAAAATTAAGATTATAGGTACACTAAATTAGCATAATCTACAATTTTATCACATGACAGGAGGCTTCCTATTTTGCATTTTTAAAGCTGAGGTAATAACAAGAAAGATGCGCGAGTGGTCTGATGAAAATAAAATAACCGGAAAGTGTCTTCACGTGTCCAATCTGCGGAATGTAAGATATCAGCTAGAGATGCTCCCGCTGAGAACGCTTGAGAAGCGTCCGCGCCCCGAACCGAGTGAGCCCCGAAACACGTCTCCACTCCTGCTAGGGATAAGATCCAACGAACCCATCTAGCCAGAGTAGTAGTGGTAACCGGCTTGTAGGGTTTGGTATAAGACACCAGCAGTTGTCCAATACTAGAAGCTTGAAGTTTTGCAGTGGTCTCTACATATCGAGTAAGTGTGGAAACTACACATAAACGTGGAACCGTAGGGAAAAAGGGGTAGGATATAGAGGCTGAATTCGTTTTAGTTCTACGAGACACCGTGAAGGTAACTCCTTCTGGAAACCGTCTACTTCGAACGCTCGCACGTCCGAAACTCGTCGAAAGGATACTAAACATAGAAGCAAGGTGAGTTTGGCCGACAGCTGGCGCAGAGATAAATGGGTTGTCCGGCCAATTCCGAAGAAAACGGAGGACCACCATCCCACAAACGATTATACTTAGGTGCCGGTGGTCTGGACAATTTGATACCTCGCAACAGGCGAGATACCAAAGGGTCTTGACCGACCGGGGAGCCTTGTACTGGAACGCGTGCCGCCGAAATTGCAGAGCGTGACACATTGATGGAACGTGAAAAGTTGGGACGAAAAAATTTACCACCGTGGTGACAGGTGCTGTAAAGGGATCACAATTCCTTCCCACACACCAGCGGTTCCATGAATTCCATGCTAATAAGTAACTCCGTCGGGTACCCAGTGCCCATGAATCCCATAAAAGATCTTTAGCCGGTTGCTATAGTCCCTCGACGGATCAGGCTCCCCTGAAAGATTCGAGACCACAAGTTTCAGATTCTCCTGTACCACTAGTGGATGTGGTTCCCCTTTCAGGTCTGTCTGCAGGAAGGGGAACAATGGAAGAAGTAGAGGATGGTCTTGTGTTAGAGCCAATAAATCAGGAAACCACGCCTGACTTTCCACAACGGTGTGACGAGAATCATCAAAATCTTGGTCGCTCTGATGCGATGGATTACTCTCGCTATCATCGAGAATGGTGGGAATGCGTACGCTCCCTTCAGAGGCCACGGTTGTAG